GATGAAATTGAAATTTTTTTTAACAAAATTAATAAAGTTAAATGAGTTTTTAGGGGGTACTTGAAATTTTTGAAATACTTTAGTAAACCGCAAGACGTGAGAAGTTAAAAATTTGAAATTGAATTTGTGGATAATATTAAGGAGAAATTGAAGAAAAGAAGAAGAGATTGTATAAATATGAAGGGAAAGAGAAAAAAAAAATTTGGGGGAAATTTTTTATACAATTTGGTGAGACCTATTGTAGCAAATTGAGCGATATTTTGCCCTTTAAAGGGAATAATTGAAAGGAAAGTTACTGCATATACTTACCTTCATTAGTTTGTCATTTCCTACAATTATCCCTATATTTAACAATATATAACGCTACTATATGATCAACATATGTGTTAGAAAAATAGATATAATTCAATTTGTAATTTTAATAATATATAGCATTTGGAATTCAATTTGAAAACAGAAAAAAAAAGAGTTCGTGTATTAAAAAATAATAAAAAATTAGGAAAACATTTAGTTAGGTAAACTGTTAAACAAAAAAATCAAAAAAAATAAAATAGAAATCATTAGGAGTAAAAGTGTAATTTACTATTTTAATACATGTATAGCTAACATCTGCATAACTTATTGCACCTTTTATGATGCATAGCTTATACATAAATTCCCTTATAAATTATGTTTGTATTGATTATGAAGGAATACAAAAAAAAATACAGTCAAACACCATATAAAATTAATACAGGAATAACTTTTGTAAAATATTAAGAATCCTACCAACTATCCCCTCCCCCCCCCCCCAAACAGTTCTTTCCCCATTTTTTCAGCCAATTACACCCCCTACCCACCTTAATTTTTCTAGTACCCCAAAATTTTAAATATTACACTTTAACCCTTTTCTCAACCTATAAATACCCCTTAACTTTCATTCTTTTCAATCACAAATTCACAAAATCATCTTCTGTTCTCTCAGCTCTCAACTCTCTACTTCTCTAATATTTGATCTCTTAAAATTTCAAGAAATTTCGATTTTGCCGTTTTGGTCTTTGAAAATTGAATTTGGAACTTCAAAATTTAACTTTCATTTTCACTTTCGGCGATCATAAACGTCCACTTTTGTAAGTAGACGTTCAGTACATTTGTTCCAACTTATAATTTACATTTCATTTATATTGCAATAATTATTTATTTATTTTGTGATTATTTATTTGTTTGCATTACATTTTTCGTATTATATATAATCTACTCACGTTTTATATTTGAATATGGATTCCGATAAAAATGTTGTTCAAAAAGGAAAAGGTAAAAAAAAGTGCAATTGAGCATGTTCAAAATATGTATAACTTTACATCCTCTGATAATTCAAAAATCGATAGTTTTTCTAGATTTAAAACTAAAAAATCTACTATAGTAAGAATGAATACGGAGGATTATACACATGCTAATGATATTGTGTTTAATATTAATAGTAATTCTTGATTAGATCCTTATCATGAACATTTACGTTGGTTTGGTGATTTTGATGATGAATTGCCTCGAGATGATGATAATGATAATGACATTGATGATTATATTAATACGCCTACTTTTGATGATGATGATGATGAAACTGAGTCACCTACGACTACTAATACTCCTAGTCTCGCACCTAGTCCCGCTCCCTTTCGTTGTCCTGCCCATGTTCCCCCGTACATCCTAGGCCTAAGCTAGAACGTGCTAAAAAATCGATAAACACAAGCTATTTGTAATAAATGTAGACATAGATTAAATCATATCCGGTGGGACGGGACACTTGAGTAATCATTAATATCTTGTTGTAAAAATGAATTGTTGCATGCTAAAGCGGTAGCCGAAACTAAAAAGAACGGTATCCCTTTCCAGAAAATATAGGAGTAGGCGGTACTAACATGGTACAAACACAACTAAATCCTTCTAATGTTTCTGACTCTAGTTTACCTCGTCCATGTAGTAGAGAAAAAGATCTTGAAGAACTAGCTAAAATGATATTTGTTATGGATTTGCCATTTGATTTTGCTGAAAAATTCCGATTTTATACATTATATTCAAATTGTATATAATCCACATTTTAAAGGTTTTGCTAGAAATACAATAAAAAAAGGCTGTATTGGATTATCAAGCACAACTTTTCAATATCTTCGTTGTTTATTTTATTATAATAATTGTAAAATAGCTATTACTTCTGATATGGGTCGTAGTATAAACAGTAATGATTATTTGACTGTTATTGCACATTGAATTGATAAAAATTGAATTATGCAAAAAATGTTGTCAAATGCAAAAACCCGATTGTTATATAGCTCAAACTATTTTAAATATTTTACAAAGCTATGAAATATGTGATAAAATAAGTAGTATAACCTTAGATAATACTTCGAATAATAAAGTTGCTGTTGAATTGTTAAAATCTACTCTTTGTCCTATTTATGATGACGATCATCATATTAGGTGTACTGCACACATATATAATTTGATTGTTAGAGATGATATACAAATGTATGATAACGGTTGCACGAAAGTTGAAAATGCATGTTATTTTATATTTAAGTTAAGTCTAGGCGTAGAGATTTTCAAAATCGTTGTTGAATAAAATTTTCCACCTAGAAAATTTAAAATCAGTTTCTACTAGATGAAATTCTATATATGAAATGCTTGTAGTCGCTTATGGATATAGAGAACCGTTACAATTGGTTTGGAATGCTCATAATTAAGATATGTCATATAGACTCGATGATAGTGATTGGCATGACATATATGAACTCATAGATTTTTTAAAAGTTTTTTACAACACTACTAGAAGAATATCTGTACTTTATAGTTCATCAATTTGTAATGTTTTACCTGATATTTGTATGATTTCTTCTAAATTTAAAAATAAACCAAAATTTCAAGAAACTATTCAAAAAATGATTGAAAAATTTAAAAAATATTATATTCCTATTTCTCAAATTTATTTAACCACTTGTTAGTTAAACCCTCATTACAAAGATGTAGGTGCAAGGATGGTTGATAAAATATATTTTAACTTGGATATTGATAGTGAATTAGATAAAATTCCTAGTTGTCAAAATGTTAAAGATAGTATAAAATTTGAAGCTAGAAAATTGTATGACTTATACAATTCTAATATAAATTTATCAAGTGATCAAGAACCTGAAAGTTCTAGGAGTAGACTTAATGAAGATAATATTGATGCTTATTTAGATTCTTATCTTGAACTTCTCACAATAATAGAATTCATTTAGATGCGTATCTTAATCAAAATACAGAACCTACTAAAGATGTTCTAGCATGATGGAGAAATGGCGGCAAAGGATATCCAAAACTTGAACCGATGGCTCGAGATATATTAGTTATTCATGCGTCGTCAGTAGCTTCGGAAGGCGTTTTTAGTGCAACAAGGTTTCAAATAGGAGATCATAGGCATTCACTAGCAGCAGATAGCTTGGAGATATCAGTATCATTTAGAGATTTGATTAATGCCGAGAGAAGAAATTTGGGTCGTGAACCACTACCGACCAATTTCAAAGTGACCTTGATGAAATAATGCAAGATTATAGTCACGACGGGATCGAAGCAATGGAAGATTTATCTATTCAATCAATTCCCGATAACTTTACTATAGAAATGTTCAATGATTTAAGAAAAGATCTCTATCATAGCACCGACTATTAGTATGAGCATGATAATCGAGATCTAATTCAAACAGAACCCTTCCTAAAAAGTGGCTATGTAGATTAGATCTTTTAATACTCTACTAATATTTTTGTAAATCACATTGTACTATCAAATTAATATTAATAAAAGTATGCCTTAATTTTTATTATTATCGTATTAAATTGAATATTTATTATTGTGAAATTTTAAATTTTCAAACTTTTATACTTTGAAAATTTAAAATTTGAACTTTTAATGTTTGGAAATTTAATTTTCTAACTTTAAAAGTTTGAATTTTAAATTTTCGAACTTTAAAAGTTATATTAAAACTTTTATAACTTTTAAAGTTTGAAGTTTAAAATTTCAAACTTTAAAATTTTGAATTTGAAATTTAAATTTTCAAACTTTAAAACTTTGAAATTTAAATTTTCGAACTTTCAAACTTTGAAAATTTAAACTAAAGATGTAAAATTTCAAAATAATTTAATATATATTATATTCAAGCTTTCAAACTTTAAACTTTCATCTCTAAGTCTTTAAAATTTAAAGTTTTACAAACTTTCAAAATTTGATGTTTATAAAGTATAAATAATTACCTTGAAAAGTATAATTTGTTAACTTTTAAAAAATAATCTTTAATTGATTTTAATAAAAAAAATTATTTTTTTATTTAAAAAAAAACCCGATCAAATCCCGAATACCGCTCCGGTCTGGTCCGGTTTCGTACCAGTTCCCTGGCGGACCGGAATGGAAATAGGAAAAATCACGGAACTATCGGTACCGTTCTGTCCCAATTCCGATACGGTTCCGGCTGATGGATCCCGATTCCGTGCTGGTTCCGATAACTATCGGTCCGGCAGTCCCGGTACCAGTACCACCGACACTCATACTACCAACCAAACATGGTATAAATTATGTTGGCTTTTCCACCTGATAAAAAACTTCTACCGAACATAGTAAAACGCTCCTATCTTATTTCCGCATGGTGTAGTAAACCACCAATGTGTTCTTGTTATTATATGTGGGTAAAATTTATCTAGAAATGGCATTCCTAATAACATATCTTTCGTTGTAAACTCAAAATTGTACATTTCTTCTATTGTTAGTATTTTATCCCATATTTGTATTTTTATATTTTTTGCTTTATATGTAATCATACTTCCTTCATTATTAAATCCTGTTACTACCATATGTGTTTTTAATTTTTCCCATTTATCTTCTTGTAAACAATTATATTTACATATGTTTGCTTCTGCTCCTGTATCTATCATAGGAGTTTGAGGGGTGGAAGCAGATCTTTAGGGAAAGAAAGAAAAAGAGAATGAAGAGGAGAGTTGATTAGAAGTAGCTTGTTTATTACTGAGGGAGGTGCCCTCTATTTATACAATAATTTTACAAACTTGGCCAATAGAAAATGACCGACTTTACATTTGGCCTTATATTATTTGGCCAACACAAAACGACAAAATACTCTAATAATAATGACCCTTTTATTTATGGCCGACACTACTTTTTACATATGGCCACCTTATCTTTGGCCGACACAAAACGACAAAAATACTTTCATAATGGCCTTTATTTATGGCCGACACACATACTATTTACACATACTATTTACATACACTTTTTACTACTTTTACATTTTTACTCTAGCTGTACATCTGGAATATTATTATCTTCTCCTTCACACTTTGAACATAGATGATCGGGATATTTTTATCCTATTAATTTTTAATATCTTGTCATCAAATTAGGAGAAATAAAATTTTTCCTAATTGCTCTTCTTATAGGTGTTTGCTCTGGTTTTTAATAGGCTTAATATCCACTGCCTTAGGTCTTCCATATTTGCTGCTCGAATTTCCCTGCAGTTGGAGTAGATGATTGTCTGATCTCTATTATAGTAACTCCATATTGCATTTTCGTTCAAATAGTTGTTTGCTATCTCATTCAATATAGTAGTTATTCCAATAGTTCTCTTATTTCCGTAAAACTCTGGATTATCCACCTTTTGTATTTCCTCTTGTGTATCTATTTTTTCAGGGATTATCATTTCCCTAGTTAATCCAATCTTTATAGCTTGTATTGTAGGCTTGATCTCATCATATAGTATTTCTATTGTAGCTGTATAGAACATTATATAAAATAGAGTTCCTTTAGTAACTCTCTTGTATTGTAAAAATGCTTTATATAATTCTGATATCTTGGATACTTCTTCTCCCGTTATTGTATATACAGTACTCAATAATCCATAGTTGTAGCAGGTTGCTACTAGGTTTGGATTTGTTCCGGGTTGTGCAATTAGCTTATTATAGCCTTGTAGATACTGGGTTATGTAGTCTTCATTTGGGTTTTTCGTATCTTTTGGTCTGGGGTTCCTGTTTAGAAAAGTTTGTATTTTGTATATATTTTCTATATACATTCTAGTTATGTGGTTGTATGTCTGTTTCTGTGAATCTAAGTTGGCTTTATAGGTATTTATCTGTGGTGGTACAAATACGTCTTTTTGGATATTTTGAGGAGTATATGGTTTAGAAAATAATTTATTCATGTTTGTATTTGTATATTTTACCTTAGTTTCCTCTTTTTTTGTAGGTTGTCCTGCTGTAGATGTACTTCCTGCTGTAGCTGAGCTTCCTGCAGATGCATATATCTTTTTGTTTTGGTTTTTAAGTGTTTCCCATCGTCACTTTCTAGCTCCGCATTTTTTAAGTCATGCTGCTGACTTAGCTCCGCATATTTTGAGTCATGCTGCTGACTATTAACTTTTTCTTTTAATACTTGTACATCTGTTTCTATTCTCTCCATTTTTTGGCAAACATTTGTCATCATAGCCAATATTTCTTTCATTGTATCTTTCTCTTGAGAGGTAGTCTGCAACAAGATTTTTGTCAGTTTTAATTACCTCAATTGTAAGTGTAAAATTTAATATTATTTAATACCAATCTCCTTATTTCTTTTGTTGTAACTGAATCTTCTACCTTTTTAGTTATCCACCATTTTACCTGTGTATTATCTGTTCTCACAATAAATTTATTGTAAACAATATATGGTTCAAATGCTAATAAACATTTATATAATGCAAATAATTCTTTCCTATTTATTTCCCATTTTATTTGTACTTCTGTATAAGATCCTGAATAATATCTACAATGGTGTTCTATTTTTTCTTTTTCATATTTGTATTTTAAAACTCCTCCATAACTATGATCACTTGAATCTGTTTCAACAATATAAGTAAATGATTTATTTTCATCAGGAAAGTAAAGTTTTGGTAATTTTTTACATAAATTCTTAATATTCTTATATGTTCTTTATCTTTATTGTCGAAATAGTATTCAACATCTTTTCCAAGTTTTTTATGTAATGGTTTTAAATGCTCTGCCAATTTTGGTATATACTCTCTTACTTGATTTATTAATCCTAGAAAGGATTGTAATTTCTTTTTTGTATCTATATTTTCATCAAGGATGATTATTTTCTGTACTATGTGGTTTTGCATTTTTATTCCATTTCTATCTATTTGTATTCCTAGAAATTCTATCTGTGGTTTCATAATTTCTGCTTTCTTTTTACTTAAACTTATACCTGAATGTTTAATTATATGTATAAATTTTTCTAATAATCTTATATGTTCATCTTGTGTTTTAGAATATAATAATATATCATCTATATATATAATACAATTTTCTAACTGGTTAAAATAGTTGTCCATAAAATTATACGGTAACCAAACAACCCCAAATTCTTCAAATCCTGATCAAACTCATACTCTGCTTAGGTTCTTTCTCAGGCTTGTCCACCTCAACCATGCATTCCAACATGACTATATATGTATGCTAATGATGTCTAAACATAGTACAATCTAATATCCTGAGATGGAATAACAAGAATATCCACATATAATAAGAACAGACATAGGCTGGCCAGGAATTCTTGCATAACACAACATACATGTCGATCTTCTTTTAGCTAAGCTACGTTTACACAAGTTATATTACATCCCAATTCCAAATGTCACTGACCAGTTACAAAATGGCTCACCATATAATTGTGTCAAGGTCTGGTATTATCAATGGACGTGTAATTTGTATCATGCTGAAGCATTGGGATATCTCGAAAAATGTTGGAATAGAATTTTACCTGTCTCATGGAACTTGAGTGTATTCTGTTAGTTGATGTTCCAATTTCTACATTTGCAATGTACCTTGGAAAGAGCAGCCATGTAATCATCACTCCTGATAATGAATATTAATGAGGATTCTTTTCTTCATGCTAAAATATATTTCTAAAGAGTAAACAAATGAATAGCTAAAAAAAACCTTGATCCATAAGGTGATTGACAAGCAGCAATTAAATGAACTTTACCCTCATCTGGCTCATTCTGCAAAACAAAAAAGAGCAAAATATGTGATCAAGTAAGACATTTCGACATCCAGTATTCAAAGCCTAAAATAAAAAATCTAAATGCTTGTACAAATTAAACCATCGGAGATGTTCCATTTTTATCCTACAAATGCTTGCTCTGCTTCAAATGCCTTTTTTGGTTTAGAACTGATCTTTATCCATATATAGTTCCATTGGAAAAGAAAACATCCACATCGTAATAAAGTAAACCAATCTGCTAATATTTCTTTCCTTTGACTTCATACTTGCTATCGTAGGAAAATTAAGTAGTGGGTAAATCTTGATTCTGTTTAAAGATAACATGACTATCTACATGTATGTGTGACCACAGCGAAAGATGGTATTTCAGGTTTTTAGATGGCACTTCAGTTGCTTGCATAAAAGACTATCAAAAGCAGCCCTTGCACTTTACATCTATCAAAGTGGTAACTCTGCCCCACTATTGAGAATAAAAGAGGCATACACTAGTTATAAGAAAATATGGAGTGTACAGGTTCATTCTCAGAGTAATGCATATATTGTGAAGGTAAACTGGGGTAAAAATAAGCTTAATATTCAAATCTTCCGAGAGCAATTTGGACGAAGAATCATCCATAATGAACATAAGGTATAGGGATCAGTAAAAACCTGTGATTCATAGTACAAGCCAGCATATAGAGAAGCATAGAAGTATTCATTTGGCCGTCCACTTAGAAATGCAGCAACAAGCTACAGAATTAGAATTGTATGGTGTAAGTAAAAAGATTCAGACCAAAGTGAAGTTACGGCGGCCTAGCTCAAAACAATATAGTATAGATAGATCATTGGAACAAACTTGTAGACATTTTAAAAATATAATGCTTCAAAGGAAAAACTGTAATAATTTAGTAACAATCACTAGACTCTCAGTTCTGAAAAGTTTCATAAGAAAGGCTGGATTGAAATAAATTTCGCCAAGAAGCACTTTCATAACTTACCAAGTATCACGGGCTCACAGTTTAAGATATATCATGAACTTTTCTAAGAATAATGTTTCTTGGAAGCATATATTACTAGAGAAAATCCTGAAGTTCTAAGTCCAAGCAGAACTTTGTATAGGATATTGATTGTTAATGTAACTAAGGAACAATGTGGTGGCATCGCAAAAGTTGCTCGCCCATAGTTCTGAGATTTGAATGTTTACCTCCATTAATTATTTGAGATAAATCTCAACAGATTCGTTGATGAAAACTGCTCAGACTTTAGAAGATTGCAGACTAGTCAAATCATACGCAGCATAAGACTTGTCTGCTATAGCAACTACAAATGAGTTGTTGATTATAGTTCTTTTAGGTCATTTACAGAATGAAACCCAAGAACGGAGAATTCCGAGAAAGTTATAAGACGCTTTAGCTGGGTTGTTAGCATATTTGCTTGTAATAACTGAAGTTCATGAGAATGAAGGAGGAGTTGAGTTAAAGTATAAGAACAAGGGAGTGAAATAGAAAACGTATTGCCTGTTTCAGTTAGTAATACTCTATAATCTGTGTAAGCATGGGAAAAACACTCATTTGAAAATTACCATTAAAACAACTTCAATTAACTACTGATATGAATTAAATTTCTTTGTTCCAACAAATAAACTACATTCAACACCTTTTCAGGATCACCACCATCTTTAAACATATTATAGGCTTCTCGCATGACTGGCCGTGGATCTCTACCAACCTGCACTCAGATGCTTAAATATTTGTAAGGAAGCATACAATAGAAATTGGCAACAATGAGACGCTTGGTCAAATCATTCCGTATTTCAAATAACAGCAATTCTTGTAAATTACCTCAAGATATCTTTTTCTTGCTTCATGAACTCCATACAATTGAGCTTCACAAAGAAAACACCATATTGACTCCTCTGTATCATTTGGGTTTTGGGCAACGTCTATACGGAATTGATGTGCACCTTCCTCATACCTAACGAGATAATAACAAGCTTAAGGCAATATAATGAGGATTAAGTGTGTTCAAAGTATAATAATTTGGGAAAGCAATTACCTATCGAGATAATACAGAGACAACCCCCTTTGCCAAAGATCTGATGAAGTAAAAGATGTGAGGTGAGTTCACGATAATATTGAGTTGAAACTGGTACTCATTTCAGAAGCTCACATGCTTTCTGGCGAGGATCAAGCTGAATTGCCTTGTCAAACTCCACCAAAGACCCTAACACATCGCCCTTCATTATACAAACAAACAACATAATCTTCAAATAAAATCATTTAGTTCAGTAAAAATGTGTAACTCTTGACTGACCTGACCTGTCTAAAAAGATGCATTCCTTTTCGAATTGCCATCACAGCGGAGTTACCACTTGTTAGGGCATCCCACACCCTACAAACAAATACTCTTCTACTCAAGGTTGGTACTGGGTTCTGATAAGTTTGGATTCTTGACCCAAACACAACTTTTCCACCCAAATAACACTTGTCAAAGGGTTTCATCACGCTGGGTTGCACTCGCACATGATAGATATGAGTTATTGCCATTACCAGCTAAGAGTGGGAAATGAGATGATGATAAGGTAACGAACCACTACATTGAAATTAATTAACGCCACAATTTTAGCCATCTCCAATCCAAATTCTCTAATTTACTCCAATCTTTTCTCTCTCCTCATTTCTCAATATGATATTATTATTTTTATGTCAGTCTTATTATTTTATTTCATAATGTAAATTATTTTTAATATAATCCACCATAATCTTTATGTAATACCAATTTTTTTTTTTCAAATTCTTCATTTAATACAAAATTATATTTTATTCTAACTGAGATAAATTGCGATAAATATTATATATAAACAATTTAAATAAAAGTGATATCATTGATTAAATATATTGACATCATAAATATTGTGTTATCGTAAAATTTATTTTAAATCTTACATATGTACTCAACTTTCAAGACTATTACGTTACTCTCATGAATGTCCTATTAATATATTATGGAGTTTACAATTGGCATTTTTTGTCTTTATTTTTTATGTGTAGCTAAAAGTTGTTTAAATTAACAATTTCATTTTGTAACCAATTATTTCGTGTACTAATTTACTTCCCATATTTCATTTTGAATTATTGAATCAAAATTTGTCATGCTAGATAAAAAGTGTAATTTAATAATTTAACACTATAACATAAAAAGTAGATTGTTTGAATTATCATGTAAATTTTGTACATACTTCATAATGAAAAAATAATTATAATCTAAATTACATATTTAATTTGACCAATAAAAATTAAAAAACAATAATATATTTTAAATGTTATATTTCTTAGAAAATAATTACAAATATTAGAGAGTTAAATAATATTCTTATATAATATAATTCATCTTAAAATAACTTTTACACATTCAAAGTGACAATTTCTTTTAAAAAATAAAATAAAAAATGATTACTTTGGCAGAATTAGTATTAATTTGGCGGAAGTAGTAACTTTTTTTAATGTTATATTGTATTAGAAAATAATTACAAATGATAAAGATTTAAATTAGCAATATAATAGAAATAATATTATAATAATCAAAAAGAAAAATAGATAGGTGAATAGTAGTTCTCCAAATTTGGAGAACTACTATTCACCTCACTATAATTGAAGAATAGAGAGTTAAATAGAGAGTGGTTGGAGAATTCATTGTCTATTTTACTCTCCAAATTTAGAGAATAGAGAGTAAAATAGAGATGGGTTGGAGATGGTCTAAGGAGGAAAATATAAGCTAAAGAATGTTTTCCAAGTTTGTAATTTTCTTCTAAAAAAAGACAAGTTAGCCCCTTCTTTTTTCCCCCTTACTTCTAATTTTTAATGTTAATAAAAGGGATTAAATTAGTAATTTTAAAAACTTAAAAATTAAAAACAGTTGTAGATAGTGAATTTTTATTGATAAATTCTTATTAAATTTGGATTAAATCTTAAATTCATGACACGTTGACAAAGTCAAGTAAATTAAGTCCATCAAACCTTGAATGTAAAAAGTCATCATCCCCAATCCTTTCCGTCGTTGCCTCCCTAGACTTTTTTTTAAAGTTTATCCTCTTCGATTTGTTGAGCATGAATCATTAGACGAGATATGTCAATCTCTTTAATGAGCATGGCGGTACAACATTCCTTAACCAACATATGAACACACCCGAGAAGAACTTGATCATCTTTTCCCTAGAGTTGGCAACTATAACACCTAGACGATTGTGTAAACTTCAAGGCACACTCTTTCACACTCATATTTCCTTGAAAAAGGTTAATTAATTCAAGTAACTTTGCCTCCTCCATCTCAAGGGGAAGAACCTATCAGAGAAAGCACCTTTAAACTTTTCCCAATCAAGTGGATCCACATCAACCACTCTCCCGTCCTTTCATTAGTTGACCAAACTTGAGTAATAATCTTAAATTTATAAGCGGAAAATTCTTCCCTTTCCACTGACGTCACTCTCTCATGATCATCAACACTACCTCACCAATGAACTCTTGAGAATCTTCCTCAACCTTGAAACCATGAAACTCAAAAGATTCATCCTAGTGAAGTCCCTCACTCTAGTTGTCGATGTACCCACTGTCATGCCCCGAGGCTACCCTATTGACGTATCACGAGACCTAGGATCACGAGTGACCCCAAGATTACCCTGAAGCTGACATATAATAAACATATTAAAAGATATCTAAATGAAAATATGAACTAATGCGAAAGCTAAATCAGTAAAAAGCTGGAAAATGGGGAAAACCTTGACTAGTCTAAATGTATAAACCGTACTGGAGTTTAATAACAACTCAAAAATTAACTCAACAATTCAAGTTGATTCTACCACTATGTCTAAAAAGCCTCATTGACTAGAGTTGATGGGACATGCACCAGCTAACTCTTGCAAGACTGTATATTATATAAAAGACTAAAACTGAAACACATGTTTGTTGTCCTCGAAACATGAGCACTTACTAATGAAGTTGTTGAATACGAATAAAAAATCGATCTAAGCATGATCTGAATGCTAAGTAAATGAACCTACATCATGAAAGGATGTAGCATTCATGATGTTACACAGAGTATTCATCAGCACTTGGAATGTATTGAGCACATAAGATATAGGTAATAGTTTAAAAAAATATAGTTGAGCAATAATATAATCTGAATAGAAGATAAATGTTGAATATAACTGAAAACTGAGCTAAATGCAACGACCAAGAACTAATCATGAACATAACATGCTGAAAATGAATGCTGAAGTATAAACTGAAAACGTGGTCAAGTGCACTAGAGTCTGACTACGGGAGCTACTATTAACTGACATAAAACCACGTGACCTAAACACAGAGTCCGATGTATATGCTCTACCGAGAGCACCCAATATACCTTATCGAGGTATAAAGGTATGACTAGTGTGGTCACAAAATCTGAGGCCTAATAGAGGAGACTTATACTTCTTCAGGGACACATATTTCTAGGACTAAGAGGGTATGCTGAACCCTAGTTCAACTCGGTACTAAGCCTACTCTCAACTGGAAATGTATATGACACAACATAACTGAAATATTAGATAGCTCAATATTCTGACATGCAAATTTAAGAATACAATATTTAAGAGCTAACAATGTAATATACAAAAACTGGAGCATGTTTATCTGTTTAACTGACCTAGCAAGTGTAATTTATGAACTAAGAGAATCTATACAACTAGGGTTCTGAGTTTTATTATAAAAAACTACGAAAACTTTAGAAGAAAACATGATAATTCGATTATGAATACAACAATAGCTATATCACAACAATTTCCAAGTCTTTAGAACCCTAGGTATAAACACAATATAGAAAATCAAGAATCTGACTGAATTCTAGAGACCTAGTGGGTGAAAAGAACCTACTAGTGAAATCCCACATACCAAGTGACGAAATTAATGGAGAAATCCTTTGATTTTAGGGCTGGAATTGAAGAAAACATGTTGCGCGTTCTTAAGGAAACTGAAGCCTTTTTTTTGTTCTAAGTTTTGGTGATTTTTTGGAATGAAGGTTTTAGGTAGGTTCTGACTTAATCATAAAGCTTAAACTGAGTAAAATGACATAGTTTAGGTATTAAACGACGTAGTTTGAATGCCCAATGCATATGGAAAATGCCAAAACAACTCTAACTTAAAATCTGACGAGGCCATTGATGGACCGTGGACTGACCGACGATTCGTCCTGGTTGGGCATCTTTGGCTTTAGAGACTTGGTGCTGAGTGTTACAATCCACAGATTGTGGTCCAATTCATAGTCTCTAATTCCTATCGTGGGTTGTGATTTCTTGGGAAATTTTGGGTGGCCAGCCAATGGACCGTACCTACGGTCAGTGATACCATTCACAGGCTGTGGTTTTGGCTCCGTCGGTGGCACCTGCAACTCTGAAAATCTGTTATTTGGTCTTTCTTGAATCTGGGGTGTTACACCGACACCTGGGTTCACGGGGACCACACCATCCATATTTGCTTAGGCCATTGAGCCAATAATTGAAAAGAATCCCTAAATTCCACATTAGACACTTGTTCGACCAAAGGATTAGCCGGAACTTGTGGAGCTTCTTCTCAACGTTCTACCGCACATTCCTTCTAATGTATGCTCTTTGAGGGGAAATATCCTAAAAAACATTTGATATGGATTATGAGATACATATAGAGTTAAACTCTATCATACGACTTACGAATGATGAAAGAATTGGAATTCCCAAAGCATCTTATTGCCTCTTATTCATAGATGTGGAGCGCTTCACACTAATGAAAAAAGCTCTACTCGACGTGGATTATGAGACATCCTAGGACCTTTCTAAACCTTGTACTCTAAATTCCAAGGTTTTCGTGACTAAAAGTATACCCTATATGTGAAATGATGTATAAGACTCGAGTGGCATTACACAAGTATAATACCCTGTATCTAAAATAGTATAAAAAATGCAACTACTGATCGTCATTCGACTTATGGTCCGTTAATCGACTCCGTCAATGGGTTAACTAACTCTTAGTTCTAAGTCAAAAATGACAATCGACCATTACGGACCATCAGTTGGCTTACGGTCTATCAGTCGACTTCGTCGATGGCCAGCTGACTCTCAGTTCTAAGTCCCAAATGTCAGTCGACTATTACAAACCAGTCAACTCCGTCGATTGATCAACTTACTTCTAGTTTTCAGTCACAAACGACGGTCTACCAGTACGGACCGTCAGTACTTGCTTTTGTGTTTGTTTAGTTATGTTTTATTTTAGCTCTACTCTATCCTACATGCCCATAACCTATCAGTTACTGACGCATACGTGCGCTACATCTTCTCCTAATGTAGGTTCAAGTTCTCAACATCTAGATCACACTTATATCGATTCTCGATCTCCAGTTCAGTAGAATCAGTCGTGAGTCCTCATTATCCGAGGATAAGAATCATGAGTTTCTTTCTAGTATTTTTAGTCATTTAGCTTCAGTTTTTCCTAGACTTAGTTGGGTCTGTCCAAGCCTTTCTAGTCAGTTAGAGGCTATTTTCAGACATAGCTAGTTTCAACTTAGTATTGAGTTAATATTTTCTTTATATTAAACTTATCAGTTTCAA